GTTGCCATCTTGAGACTGTAGGCGACCGCTAGGCTTGAGGGACTCGGCGAGAGGACCAAGGACAGTTCGGTTCATCAAGGCGAGGGATTCGCCCAGCATAGAAGAGGCATCGGATAGGACCAAGACGAGGTCGTAGGTGGAAGGAGGTAATGTGACCAATCCCAAGGAGAGACGGTCAAGCATCTGAAGATCTGTGAAGGAGCGATCATAATCGGCGAGGACAGATGTGAGGGCGTCGGAATTGGAGGCAAGAGAAGGAGGCGCCAAAAGAAGGGTTCGCTTGGGTGGCGAGGATTGGACAGACTTCGTGACAGGCATGATGAAGTCGTCACTGGGATCGATCATGAGGGTCGCGGGCGCCATGGCGAGTGAATAGACAGCAGAAAGGAAAAATCAACGAGGTAGATGGGAAACAAGAAGTAGGGAAAGATTGAGGGACAGGCCGTTTTTTAAGATCTTCAAGGTGATGTTAGACCCAGACTTTTTGACTCGGCGGTCGCTGGTATCTGGATTAGTCAAAGAACGGTAGTACCGTGCACAGCCAATATGAACTGTGCAACATCCCCTAGCATACGAGGGGTTGTACCGTGTGGGCTGACTATCAGATGAACGGTACTGCATTTGATATCAGAGTTGCGGGGTCATTTTTCTGCTTTTCCACGGCGGGGGGGGCTTTTGGCTTCTTCGAAGGGCCCTTATTCCGACTGCGGAGACGCCGAGTACTTCTGCCGAATTAAAATGTTACTATGAGAGAGAGCCCATCATATTGGGAATGGCTTTGCAATCATGCAGTCACAATCAGTTGTCGCTGATAAGTTGATAACGAAGTAACCTCTAAGAATTGGTGTTTGGTGTTTCCGTTTGCATTTCCCGGAGATGCAAGAAATTTGTGGTCTTTGGATGGCTAAGAATTAGCCGTCAAACCATACGACTTGGCCTTATCCCTGTTGGTTTCGAGCTCTTCTTTTCTTCCGCACTTCAATTTAGGTACCTGAACTGTCCTGAGCAATGGGTACGGCACCTTAGGTAGCTGACATATGATCATTGGTAATCCGAACCAGGTGGGGGAGACAACGGCTCGGAACCACCTACCGTAGATATTGCAGTACGGGTCGGGAACGGGCGGTGGGCGATGTCGGACCAATCCCGGACAGTACGATTGCTGTTTGGTTTCGATATGCGCCATTACCATAGGTTGTCTATCACTTGTGCTCTTAGGCTCAATCTCGTGAGCGGATGGCACGGGCACGGGAGCCGCGATCCCGGCCCTCAGTTTATGGCCTACAGCCTTCGTGGCCTCCCATTGATCGTGGAATTGCGGGGAGTCTTTTTCTGGGGTATTAAACGTTGGAGTGCTTATGAAGTTATCCCCCCTCAAAATTGTGAGGCTTAAAGTGACTGATTGGTGTTGCACAACAATTTTGATACAGCGCAATTCTCGCCTGATCTTTCGTAGGTAATCGAAGCGTTCTGGTATCTATTTTTCAGTCCCGTACAGTACCTATCTAGGTCGTTGGTGACGATTTATTGGTTGAATATGTAACTTGATTTGATCTCGTGTTACACAATCTGGGTGTGACAATGTCTTGATTTCTAGCCTTTGATTTTATATTAGAACAGCAAACAGGCAACTCGACTTTCCTTTAGTAGTATTAGTCGATCAGTGTTTGTGTGTCGCTGGTATTTCTCTAGATCTCACTCGATTTCTATAAACCATATGAGTGACACATTGCGAGTAGGATCTAACTACCTTACTAGGTAATGTTATATTGACAAGAGAACAATTTTTATATTATCACCATTGCAATGCTCTTCTCCTGCCATTCTTCTAAGGTATTCTCGTATCAATAGTCTAACGTATTCCAAGGTCTGCAATATTCCGGTGCTTTAATGCTTTTCCTGCAGCCAAGTGATTGCCAGTGCTGTGCAGCTGTCAGTGACCGTTATATTTTATCTCTCCTTCTTGATTTCACCGAATCGTGGAATAAACAAACGCGTATGTGTTTCTGATAAATTCTTGCCCCAGGCAACAGTGATTCACTGCCTCCTTCCATCCTGCTCTTTCTTAAATTTCTTTCTCCTCCCTCTTCTCTTCCTCTTCTCTTCCTCTTCTCCTTCCTCAACCACACTTGCATTCCTCAACATCTCTCATCGGCACAAGAAGGCACAGGATCCTTACGCTTGCCTTTGAGAGTCATCTCTAAGATAAGGCTCTGCTTTATTTCTACTCTTTCCAACTCCGAGTGCCCTCGTGCGGAGAAACACTTGCTGTTGTCTTTGCCGGTCAACGCTTCTGTTGGTAGTAATCAGGCAATACTCAATCCTCGAGGTACGTAAAAGCTCGGCTTTTTATCTCATCTCATATGTCTTCTATTCCTCGAAATTCCCTGTTGTCGTGGAACCGCCGTTAGAAGTTCTGCTGCTTGGCTTTGGCTATTCCACATTTCGCAGTACACGTCTGCCACTTTTCTGCGTTCTCCTTCTCATCTCATATCATATTTTCAGTTGCTTGCTATTGGCATCTGTTTCCAGAGTTATTTTCTCCCTTCTCGGAAGCCAGGGAGCCTTTATTACTTCATTCCCTTCTTCATTTGTCATTACTAAACACTCATTTCATCTCTGCTCACATATAGCAGCAACCGCGTTTAGACTCGAGCCGACGATCTACTTCCATCATGTCGGACTGGAACAACGACCAGGGCGGTTCGGCCGATCCGAACACTTTTGAGCAAGAGAACTGGACCAGTGGTGGCCAAGCTGCGTATGTGCTCTCGATTGTGTTTTTCTGGAACTCGATATATTGACCTTTATAGGAACGCATCCACCAACAACGCTGGCTTCGGTAACAATGGTTTTGACGATGCCAATGATTTTGTAGGCGAACAGCCCGCTGGTGATGACAAGTGTTTCGGCTGTGGCGAGACTGGGTAAGAACCAACTTTCTGGGGGACCACAACATCTAACAAGTTCAGTCACCGCCGTGCCGAGTGTCCCAACCCTCAGGAGATGACCTGCCGCTTCTGTAAGCAGCCTGGTCATATGATCAAGGAGTGTCCCGATAAGCCCCCCATGATCTGTGAGAACTGTGGTGATGAAGGTCAGTTCCATCCATTGCTGCGTGATACTCTAGGCTCATACATCCAGGCCACATGCGCAAGAATTGCGAAAAGCCTCGCAAGATTAACCGCGACCACATTGCTGATGTCAGCGCGGATGACGCCTGGAACAAGATCAAACAGGCCGTCATTGACCGAGATGTTGACGACGCGAAGGAGGCGGTACAGGAGTACATAAAGGCCGTGGATGGTGACATCACCTACCGCCAGCTCCAGGAAGCCTTGATCCATCAAAGCATTGGCCTCTGGCTCATTCCGACTGAGCGAACTCTCGTCCAAGTGTTCACCAACATGGATTTGCAGGGCCATATCGACAAGAAATACACCATTTCTTATCGCTTTGTCGAGCAGGCAGATCGTCCTCGCGAGCTTGAAGGATGGCCCAAGAGTCGGGATGAGCTTCTCTCTCGTTTGGACGATGCTGGCGAAGTCGTGGATCGAGGTGTTCCTCTTTGCCTGAACTGCAAGGAACTTGGACATATCTCCAAGTTTTGTAGTCAGGAGAAGACGGAACGTACTGATGCGGTCAAGATCTCTTGCTTCAACTGCGGTGCGGATGGCCACCGCGTCAGAGACTGTGAGTCAACATATTGATAGTCCGTCAACTGAACATGATACTAATCCATTAGGCCCGGAGCCCCGTGTGGACAAGAATGCTTGCAAGAATTGCGGGTAAGCTTTGGGCAAAGAATCTGGAACTGTGAACTGACAGCACTAGCAAATCTGGTCATCGGGCTGCTGACTGTGAGGAGCCACCCAATCCCGCCAATGTCGAATGCCGCAAGTGCAACGAGAGTGAGTCTATATGATACCTTTTCACTGGAATTGTTCTAACGACTGTAGTGGGTCACTTTGCCAAAGATTGTCCTCAAGGTGGTGGCAACCGTGCTTGCCGCAACTGTGGTCAGGAGGGCCATATCTCGAAAGACTGTGACCAACCTCGCGACATGTCGACTGTGACTTGCCGCAACTGTGAGAAGCAAGGACATTTCAGCAGGGAGTGCCCTGAGCCGAAGGATTGTGAGTCACTTGCGTTGCTTATTGTCATAATTGTGACTGACCAGTGTCCAGGGACTAAAGTTCAGTGCTCCAACTGTCAGGAGTACGGCCACACCAAAGTTCGATGCAAGGTCCCTCCTGTCGATGAGGCTGACGGGTTTGGCGTTGCTGGTGACGGGGACGGTGGATGGTCCAACGCTGGTGCCGAGGGAGGTGGTGATGGCTACAGCAACCACAGCATTGGTGGCAACGACGGGTGGTAAACACCATCCATGGCATGAACCTGTCCTGTAAGACAGCCTCTTCTGCGATTTTGATGCGTATAGTCGTTGGACGGCATTTAACGGAGGTAAAAAAGGGGTGATGTTGGACGCGATTTCGTCAGAGGTTGGCCGTTGAAAGTAATTAATCCATGCATCCACGTAAATGCCTGATGAATCGAGCGGTCGCAATCGTTAATATTAGTCGCCTTGGCCACTCAGCGAAAGTTTTCGTGAGATGCTTGAAATGGTTACAATGTGGTGAGATCAGGTATCATCAAATCATGGACACCCATTGAGGTATTAGGATTGTGCCCATTGGGAGGAGGATCTTCCTAGTGTTCCCATGTGCTGGTGGCTAATTATTTTCACATTTTCTGAGTGCAACAGAGGATTTCAAGCTGTTGGTTTGTATTATGCTGCGGAAGGGCCGTAAAGTCGGACATACTTTGTTGTGTTAGGTGGATATAATGATTCAGCCAAGGCTGCGATGGAGACGGGGAACAGACGTTTCTAGTCGCAATTTTGTGTGTACTCTGATGATACAATCTTGCTGCGATTTATTCTCATATTCAGGTTAAAACTGTATGGTAACTCGTGCTTTACGGTGTCGTTGGCAGCAATGATGCCTCATGGGCCACTGATAGGGGGCTGTCAGTGCATCCCTCTAGCTCTATGGATTATTGGGAAAATAGCTGGTACTGGTGTCTGCGTGGATATTGATGGCGAATGTGTTGTCTTGGGCTCGGCGTGGTATAACGAGGTTGTTATTTGGAGGACTCGGCGATTTGATGGTTATGGCTGAGTTGACCAATGGGGAGTAGCTGGTGTGAATTGTGGTAGGAAACAACCCGAGAATAAGGATGTGGCGTACCTCAGCCCTACCACTGAAGATCTATCTACTAGTTAATGGTTCAAGACAACATGTCATAACCGTCTCGGCAGTGTGTTCTATGCCTGCCACTGGATATACAGATCTAACTACAAATACATCGTGACTACCTGTGCCCCTTAAATAAAATATGTATTGTATAATCAACTCTGTATCTTGTAAGCCAGTATCGTAGGGAGCGCTGTTTTCATTGCTCATCGATCGGCGGCCTTTGCACCTGAGTCCCGGAATTGTGTGCTGTATTGCAATCCACAAAGGATGTAAGAGGGTGTCTTTGCATCTTACTTCATAATAAAGATGCTCGAGAAAGCACAACTTAACGACGGGCAAGATATTAAACCATTAGGTTGAAGCCAATCAATAACATAGCAGCTATTTTGTCTCTTGTCTCCTGTCTCCTACCTCATGGTTGCTAATTCAGATTGGAAAGTCATCATGTAGGGTAACCAACTCATTGCATATCTCAGATAACCAGGGTCGAAGGTATTGGACCAAGCTAAGGTTAGGTAGGTGGTAGAAAAAAAACCCCATTCATCATAGGGCAGCAGATAGATCTGTATGGAATTCCCACTGTTGTGCTATATCGTGACGGGTGTTATACGTCAGAATCACAGCAAAGTTACCATATATGGACGTCGTATGTATGTTAAGCAACATACCTACGAGGCTTGGCTAATAGAAGGCCCAATCTCGATCATATCTGAACAGTCCACCCGGATCTCGATTATCACCAAATCGTCGATCGCTTTGTGAACCGGAGTTACTCCAAGGGCGGTCAGTAGACTGGCAGACTGGGTACCTGACGGTCTCATGGGGCAGAGCGTGACGATGGAACATTCATTCCATGGCCACATCGTTCGTAGTTGTATGGTTTTTAGGTAAACGACAATTCGCGAAGCTATGTTGATCTGAAGACCTCGAGAGTTGGTGAAGCAGGAGATGCTGTTATGTTACTGAAATGGTTGGTACTTGGCTCGGCCGAGTCCACTTAAACGTCATGCTAGGACATGGGGCATCAAGTTAGAGTTGTGGACGCGGCTCTGCTGGGTACCCGGAGATTCCAGCCTCAATCTTTACCGGAATCTTGGTTAGAGCTACAGATCCATTTTGAGATACACAATATCAATTACTGGACCAGTTTCAAGTTTCTGAAGTGACGGGGCTGCCTTGGATATCTGCAATCCTATTTGAGGTAACTCATACAGGCCGGGTTTGCGTCATAACTCAACACTTACAGGTCTTTCCCTGGCCCTTGCGTGGGCCGATGAGTTGCATGAAGACATGATGGTATTCCCGTTGTATATGCAAACCAAGTCTGTCATGTCTGTTCGTTGCCTCTACCAGCATTGCAGGCCAGTAGAGAACGAGAAGTAAGTACATGCTGTTCTGCTCCGTCGTTTCTTTGACCCCGGTTGGCGCATCGGCGCCAGTGCTAGCTTATGGAGGCCACTGGAGCTTTATTAGTGTTGGGGATTGTGGAAAAGCTTGGAAGTAGGTGTCGAGAAATGCAAGGTAGTACCCGACCGCCAGGCTTCAAACGAAATCCAGGTCTTAAAACGACCAACCTTGAACAGAATGGGAGGGGGTTCAACTGAAAATGAACGGGAACGGAGGCTTGCGAAGCATTCCATAGTATATTCAACATGATGTTCTGATTGCGGGTGAGTAGGGAACAGACCAACATATACACTGTTATCGAATCAGGCCGTGGAGAAGCCTGTATAAGTACATAAGTGAGTGATCCAGCTTATTGACAAAGCATATGTTCAGTGCCTGTTGTTTTGCCTTAAGCATCTGTTGACTTTGATGAGGGTGTAAATGCAACCAACACTGGTAGGAACGAAGCTGTTGAGTATCTGATAACTCGCATATCTAAGTTGTGACTGGCTGAAAGAGCTGACGTCATGGACGAGTCATATGGCGCCTGAATAACTGCGGTACGAGTTCCTGACACAGTGTTTTGTCCTCGGGCATGCAGACTTTAAGGTGACACAGTGTATCTTGTTCCTTCTCCTCAGTACGCCAGATTTGCATGATGGGGTTTGTTATCACGCCTGCTCTTGTCTTGTTGAAGCCTATCACCGGCCAAGTGTTCACTCACTCACGTACCCCTCACAAAAATGCCGAAGGTAATTCTTGCATATCCCCGAAAACTCGAACGCCATCAGAGTTCGACGTGATGCGAGGATACCACTGGACACAGCCGATTTCACAAGACAACGCACACTCGTGCGCGAACACAATGCGATATTGCTTGTGAGTGGCCAGAGTGGATTGAGGACCCAACCCAGTCCAGGGGGGTCATGCCATTAGCGTGCAGCCTTGATTTCTAAGGTGGAACGTCGCCAGGTGAAAGCTTCAGTGTGTCGATCTGGATGTCCAGGTTCCTTATTGCTAATTCGCCCCTGGCAAAAGAAAGGGGCTTTGCTTCAGAGCGGATGAAAGACAATGGTCCTGTAAGCTGGGTGCTGATCGAGATAGACAAGGACATGAACAAGAGCGCGTCTGATCAGAAGAGGCTCGCGACAGTCAGTTCCTCTTCGCGAGTTAGGTGTGTGTAGTAGAGTTCAGGGGGTGTGTTGCAACCAACGTCGATCCCTCGACGACGCCTCCGACTTATAAATCCATGAAAGCTGGGAGGGGGGTTTGAAGTATGTGTGTACTCATTAAGTAGAAAGTTGCAGAAATGAGAGACTCGTGGGGTTAGTACCAGCCAAGAGCAAAGAGTCTGATACAGAAACGTGACTTTGGAACCTTGGTTTCCAGAATGAAAGGCCAGACAAGGGGCGGGACTCGGGAGCGTGCCCCCAGACTGGAACACAGAGTTCCAGGAGCACGGAGCTTTTCAACCAGCAGCATGGAGCATGGGGCTTCAAGCTTGGCTCTGGTATCCAATCTCAGCTTAATTCTAATAAATCTACTCCGTAAGATATCAATCAAGATCGAGACAGTATTCGGGTTTAGTCAGGGAACTGAAAACGGATCCAGTCGCGAGATTTCCAAGATTGAGGGTGGTGAAGGAATTATTGCTGTTGTCAATGAGCTTGACGAGGCCACTCCTTGCGTCATCACAGAAAGATGCGCCAATTGGATTGGATGAAGTGGGAATGACGGTGATGGTCCCAAGTGCCCACTTGCTTCATACTGGCTCCTGCTGGAAATGGGGTGTGGAGACAGAGAAAATGCTAGCACGTCTGGCATCCGCACAGTGTCAGCATTGAAAGCTGGTTATCTCATTTTATGATTTGGACCCATTTGGATCCTTGGAAAAAGTATGTGCTAGTCAATTACGACTTCCAACGTTGAGTCTGTTTGAAAGATTGTTTTGCCGACATTTGCAAGCTATGAGGAGAAACAAAGATAACTTACCTGTCGAAGACCATTATAACTTATGGCTTAACCACATGATGCGGAGAGAGCTCGGCGGCATTGAGCTGTAATCACCGATTCGTGGGATGATGCTCGGCCATCACGATCGATTTTCTTTCTCTGGGTTCTTTCTATGGCACTTCTGTTTACAGATTCAATGCTGCTCTTAATCAGTGAAACGTTGCCCCCCTTCCCCCTTGCAACTCAACTGAAGTGATTCGCCCAAAACGCACTCGTCTGGTTGGTTCCCCGGACCTTTTTGGAGGGGAGGATCGAACGATGCAGTCAAATACAGTGCCTACAGTGTGAAGCAGGGTGCCTAGGTGCGAGGCCAGTGCCTGTCGGTTTTGTCAGCCGGCCTAGTGTCCCCCTCAGTCAAGTCCTTTCCCTTATTTTTTCGCCCCCCCAGGCCTTCTTGAGTTGCTTTCAGCAGCCCAGCCGCCGCCGTCTTTTTTTTTTCTGCGCCTTCTTTTCCTCGCTGCCAACAACGTCATCTCTGACGTCTTTTCTCAATCTAATCCTTTCACAATCCTCGTCCAACGACGCAATCCCGCAAGCAAAGCAACGCCCGCTTTGTCGCTCCTCGAAACACGGCGCAAATCTATCGTATCCTTTTTTTTTGTGTGTGTTTTGCTTCGAGAGGCACGAGCCTCAACTCCACCACGAACGCCTTTCGCGCCTGTTTATCCTTATCCCCTTTCTTAACCAATCCTTCGCTTAGTACATCATCTGTCTCTGTCTACAGAAGAGACACGCGCGCGCCTCTTCACTCTTGCTTCTGCCTCGTTGACGCCGAGTGCCGAGTATAAGCAAATATCCCTTTCACACGCTCGAGCTTTCAGGACGCATTCCCTTGGTTGAAGAGGTTTCAGAGCGTATGCTGTGCGCTGTCTGCGCTATTGACTTGTCGAAAAGCGGCCATCGCCCCTGGTCCAACCCTTAAAACCGTGCCGTCCTATAGTAGAGTCTCAGACGGCTGCCGCGTTGCTATTCTGTTCTTCTTCGCCTCTGACCTCATTTGACTTTTTCGTCTTCCTCCATCTTTGCTGCTCTACTGCCACCCACCCCACACTTCCAATCCAGCCAGCACTGTTCAACCTGCCAGCCCCAGATATAATACATCATCGTCATCATGGGGACTACAACTGAAGCCTCTGCTGGAGGTGAGTCGAAGTCCCCCAAGCAATCTAACAGCTCTCCTGCTCGGCCTGGTATGTTCTTCAATTTCCCCTACTCTTGTTTATTACAACGTCGACTTTACACCTACATGCCTTGTGCCTTACCCTATCCTGTTGCATGACGTATGCTTGTCATTGGCATCGATCATCCCTCTCTATCCTCATCTCTGTCCACTTCCGTCATCGCTTTCCTTCTCCGTCTCTTGTCATCCGTCATCGTCGAACCAAGGCCCCTTCACTCGATTGACTGTAACGCTTGCTTACATCCTGTCTTGTCATAGAAACTACGACCGACACGAAGGCAGCCGATCCTCCCGTGAAATTAGAGGCTGCCAATGCCGAACAAGCCAAACCTCTTGCCCCTCCTCCTCGACCTGGTCAACAGCAAGGCAACACCCCCGACTACTTCGCGGTTCAGGCCGGCGGATCTCTCAGTCTGGAGCCCAATCCATTTGAGCAGTCCTTCGGGGGCGCTCCAGAGACACCAGGGGGAACAAAACTACCTTCAGTTGCTGCATTGACATCACCGTCCTCTCTTCTGCCTGGTAGCAACGCGACACCATTCAATTGGGGAGGAGGCTCCTTACGTACCGGCCCTCTGAGTCCTGCAATGCTTTCTGGTCCGGCTAATGATTATTTTGGCGATACACATCATCTTCGTGGCGGATTTCCTACTCCTAACGAATCCTCCTTGAGGACGGGTTTGACACCAGGTGGCAGTGGTTCTATGTTCCCTGCTCCCAGCCCTAACTCCCAAGCACTCTTCGCTCAGCTTGCTAGTGGCGGAGCAACACCTAGCACTCTCGATTTCCATCGCACTGCGATGAGTGCTGCGGCAAAACGTGACCAAAACGGCACTGCTCCACGTCCTCAAGCCCAGCAAACTTCCCAAGCACAGCAACCCCAACAGCCTTCTGTCACTTCCCAACCCCAAGAAATGCCCAACGGTGCTTCAACCAATAAATCCGAAGCGAAGCCCGCGTCCGGGCCCTTCGACCCTCACGATAACGACGCTGCCAACGGCCTCTTTATGCTAGCCCAGGGTCGAAACGGAGCTCAAAACGCGAACCAATTTGCTGTGACGTCAGGTGCACCTGGTCACGCCCATCCTGCCCCTGTCGCGCCTCAGAATATGAATACCTCACCTCAAATGTCCAGTGTTAACGGCGGATCTATTGGCTCAGCTCGCGGTATGAGCGAAGGAAGCATGATGTCGGATGAGAGTGAACAGACACGACCCAACACCCGTGGCCGGGGCAAGAAGAACCCCCCGGCGACGAACGGTCGCAGGAAGGCGGATGAGCCTCCCGCAAAGGCTCCTGCTAATAAGAAGTCCAAGACTAATAATTCCATGTCTATGGATATGGATATGTCTGATGACGAAACTAAGATGAAGTTTGAAGATGGTGGTTCCAAGTCCAAGATGACTGACGAGGAGAAGCGCAAGAACTTCCTTGAACGTAACCGGTATGTATGTGATAGCATCATTTATCATTTGTCACTAATATCTGTACAGTGTCGCTGCTCTTAAATGCCGCCAGCGAAAGAAGCAATGGTTGGCCAACTTACAGACCAAGGTCGAAATGTTCAGTACTGAAAACGACGCCTTGACGGCGCAGATAACACAACTTAGAGAAGAGGTCGTCAATTTGAAGACGCTTCTTCTTGCCCACAAGGACTGCCCAGTTACTCAGCAGCAAGGGATACACGGTGCCTTTTTGTCCCAGGTTGTTGAGCCTTTCAACCCTCAGATTAACCCTTACGGCATGGCAGCACCTATGCCAAACCAGCAAGTTATGGCTGGCCAGGGTGTCCAGCGGCGTTTCTCATAGAACGAGTTACAGCCCCAGTTAGGACAGTTTGACAAGGTTGAGCAACTTGACCACGCTTCTCCATCGAACCACATAATGCATGGACTTGACGACCCTTTCTTTCCTCAATCACGACACCATACGACCTCACCGAGGTAATTATTTATTATATGCATATACAAGGTTTAGGTTTATTCCACCGGAGGCCTATCGGCTCACAACTTCATTTCACATTTGAGCTGTACAACATTTGATCGGAGGCAACATAGCATCCAGACGGAGGCGATGTCTGAGACCAGGAGTTTGTTGAGCTTCACTTGGAGATCACTTGACGCTCTTGTTTTGCGCGAGGAGGCCGCTCTCTCTTGAGCGTTTCTTACTAGAGGCAGCGCCGTTACAACTTTTAACTTGTACGTAAAGTATTTCCCAGCAAAGTACACGGAACGCGCAGTTCAAAAAGGTGTTTGGCCAGGTTGACCTTTTTGCCAACTTGGGTGGAGGGCGTTTTGGGGAATTCGGCTCTTGGAGATCAAATTCTTTGGTGTTTTGGTTTTGTGATTTTATACGTAGCTGCAAGTAACACAAGCTACGATTGAGATGAACGATAGTTGCACTATGAACACGAAGAGTATATACTATGATGTCGTTTCACCGGTGATATTCCATTATTTGCTTCATACTGGGTAGTAGCATCACTTGAGTGGTAGCTTTGAAGAGCCAATTGAGACGTGAGGCTGTTATTGAAGATGCTATTAGTGGCGGCACGGCCATTTTTGAGATGTTCTTTTTATCCATGTTTGGAACCTAGAGCCGCTTGATAATTCATAACCGTCGTACCAAGCTGTTCGAGTTGGGGGCATTGACGTTATTTGATTTTGCTCCACTGGCTCATGGTGAACCTATGGGTAAGAGGATTTCAAGGTGGGGTCTGGCAGCAGCCCAATTGGGTCTAGCGTTGAACAACCAAATCATCTCTCATGTAAACAAGGCGATGCGCTTAAACAGTAACATCCACGTCGCGAACCACCCATCACCATCTATGAAGCCATAAACAGATCGAACCGTCACGAATTGCATTGCGATAGCACCTGAGCCTTTTATACAGCATTTTTAAGCAGCCAGTACACGAGAATCGCGACGCGACGCGCCTTTTTGACCCTCCGCGACAGTTTCAGCATCCCCATCAGTGCCGCACTGCACCGACAACTCCCCAGCATCACGACCTCAGAATTAAAAAAAAAATCGCATCGTCGACGGTCCCGAATGCGCCACCCATGACGACTCTGGTGACGACTCGGCGGCCGCTACAAGTAATTAGCATGAGCAACGAGCACGGGCGACGATTGAGCAAACGTCTCGCTGGTAAGTTGATTGATGACGAAGGCGATGGCACCCACAAGAGACGACCCGCTGACCATCGAAATGCAGCGGCGGCGACAGATTATGAGCATGACGATGATTTCGCATTTGTTCGAAAATCGAAACGACTTAAGACGGATAAGTCAGATGAATCAAAACCGAGGCCAGAGCCAGAGCCAAAGGCAGAGCCGGTCAAGAAAAATGCCAAGGGACGACCTCCGAAGCAACGCGCTGCTAAAGTGCCGACAACAAATGGAGTCATTGCGGAGGAGACGCCTGCAGAGAGCGAAATGAATGCTACGACGAAACCTGCGACAAGAAAGAATAGTAGACGAAAAGCAAGTGTTGACGTGTCAGAAGGGCGACAGACTAAAGTCCCTAAA